TTCAATTGAAATGCCACAATAAGCTCACGAATCTGCAACCCTTCCAAAAATGTTTCCAGAAATATTCAGGATCCTCTGAAACATCAAAATTTTGAGTGACCCTTATTTCTTTTTGTTGTTTCCTGCTGCCACTGGACAGTCTTTGAAAAACTAAAAAGCATTTGAGTCCGTGGCATAGTAGTAATCTTTTCATCAAAATCCAAGCAACATTTTCCGCGAGTGGGCGACCTTCGTCTCGCGGGTGCGCTGCGTTATAGGAACAACGATGCCACACTTTTCAATTATTCTTTTCAATTCTGTATTCCACGTTGAAGATCATAGCACATGGTCTTGTAAAAGTTCCCCCACACCTAGCATCTCAATTTACTATCTAGAATTTCGGCACTTCATTGTTGGACTAGCGCAGGATCTAGCTTCAAGGCCTTCAAACCTATCAACCAAATTGGGATAGCGCTGCCATCTGATCGCAGAAAGTATTAGTAGAGCCTATAATACGTACTAAAACCTTCACATGTATTATCAAAACCGTTGTCTGTTTCTCGGTCCATGAAAGAGTGAAGTCTAAAAACCCTTAAAACCATTTAGTAACAAAGTCCGTTAAGTTCATAAAATTTGGATGTACTAATTTCAACTATTGCATGTTTTGACGGGGTTTTATACACACCACGTGTTACGTGAAGTTGATTTCTCATACAGGGTGTTCATTTAAAAACTTTCCACCACGGATTTATCGGAAACCACTGATTAAAAGAAAAAACGCCGGCACACCTCAAAAGATCTGTCAAGGGGGACAACTTTTTAACTATGAAAATTCACCCTTCAAAATTTTTGAGAAGTCCTTTATTTTTGACGTTTGACTTTTTTAAATTGGTCTATTCGTTTTCAAGGGACGTAGAAAAATCTTTATTCATTTTAATTTGTTCAGATAGAAAACAAAAACACACCAAAATATCACTTTGTATTTCAATACATGTTCAAAATGTTGCCCGTTATTGGCCAGACAATGATATAAGCGATGTTCAAGTTCCTGGCGGACATTCTTAGAAACATGTTGTGGGATATCATGGCAGCCTTCAATGATGCGTTGACGAAGTTCATCCAAACTTTCAGGTTGTGGAGTAAACACAATAGATTTCAAATGTCTCTGAAGAAAAAAGACTGCTAGCTTTAAATCAGAAGATCTAGCAGGCCATTCTATAGGACCATTTATCTGGAAACTCGTCGTCTAGCCATTGCTGAACCGGAAGAATACAGTGGAAATATATTTCAACCTCATCAAGTATAAGGTTTAAATCCCTTTCGATTTGGTTTTCAATGGATAAGCGGATTGATGATAGTTTACAACATATCCAAATAAATGTCTCCATTCAAGTTTCCATTAATAAACAATGGCCCAATCACTTTCCAATACCTGCAGTTATGCTTGAATCCATTTAGATAAGATGTGCATTTATCACTGAATCAGATATTCTTCACATGAATGGTATTATCATTAATCGCTGCAGTCATTTGTTCACAAAACTTAACTCTCCTATCGAATCTTGTGTAATGAAGTATTAGGATTTATTCCAAAATTACCCAAGTTATCGTCGGGTGAGGGATTAGCGGACACGTCGACAGACAGGCCGGCAGATGGACGAGGAGATAGACCTATGGACTTACAAATAGTCGGATAGACCGACAGAAACGAGTGACAGGGTTGTTTGTGATGTACATGTCATATAACATATAAAAAGCATATCTCGTTTTAAAAATATTTCGCGATCACAGTACTCCCCGCTAGTTGCGTAGGAAGTATAAAAATGTAATTTCATTTCCAAATCAGTCATCTTAATACTTTTCCTACATCACTTGTTGACGTGAGTACGCGGACGTAAGACATTCTAAAAGTATCCTTAGGTCATGGATTTGTAAAACAGTCTATTACGAAAAGTCACGCCATTTGTCACTTAGTAAGCTCTTCTTGTACTAACACGAAAACGTTGTTATCGTAGCTACCTCGAATTGAGTTTTTTCCTCATTAAATGAGAGTGCTTCAATGTCTCGCCTGCAATGAAAACGCGAAATCGTCAAAAACTAACTTGAGCTGACTCTGCATTGAAGCAAGAACTTGTGCTTATCTCCAAAAACTGTAATTACATAATCATGGGGAAAATGTTACTCAATGCATGAAGAAAAGGCGAGAAAAGAGAATTAACAATTTCACGTGGCCAATCTTCGTGACGCTTCGCTCTTCCAGTATTCTCGACAACATAACCTCAAAACTCCTGTTGCTCGTTTTCATTCAGCTTTGTCGCTGATACGACAATGCAAAGTAGCTTTATATCTGGCCTCTCGGCATTTCTTACCCTCTTACGTCTCATTCCAGGGCTAATTTGTAAGCCTATAAATACCTGCGGAACCTCTCCCGCGACAAAATTATCTTAAAAGCCGATGTATATACGGTGGCGCGTCGACCAAAATACAGCGGCGGGGTGACGGCTTTTCCGAAACTGGTTTCCAGAAAAGTGGAATCTAGGGAGAATCTAATATAGGAAATAGATAATACTTCTTATGATAATTTTATTAATGTTGTCTAAATTAGTCCTGATAAGCCAATAAAGCTTAATATTGTAACACTCTGTATAGAGCTTTAGACCACAGTTTGTCTGTAACTTACCTCCGTTAAGACTGAGGCAAGCTAGGTTCAACGCTTTTCTGGAAAATCTCCGTGGTCCACTTGTCTCTAAATGAAACCGCAAATGCAGAGTTCATAGCCTATTAGCGTTTCTGCCACCTATGGGGCATTTACAAAACTATGGAATGGCACTTGTCTAACAGATAGTCTCTTCAACGGCTACATGAACGAACGTTGCTCCTCAAAGCGCTCCTCCATGATACAAACGCGTGCTGAGATGACCAGATGGGCCAGTCAAGCTTCTGCCTCCCCTCAAAATCTGGCGCACTTTGTACATCCAGAATTGGCTGGTACGACTGCTCCTTCGCTTTTAGGGTGTGGAGGTATCCGTGATAAATGATGAGTTTCCCTCTCCATCTCGCAAGGTCAACGCGGGTGCTCTCCAGGGATCGATATTGGCGCCGACATTGTTTCTATTACATATGCATGAACTAGCTCCTTTCCTTTACGATCAATCCGATCCACAACTTTGCTGATGACAACAGTCTAGATACAGAAACTCAGAGTGTCAAGCTGATTTTTGTCCGTGAGCAACTTCCTTCTGACGAAAGACCTGGAGGTTATCGCTGCCTGGGAAGTCAACAATATAGTACAGCCTTGTACTTCCAAAGCACAGTACTGTGACTTGTCTAACAAGAAGCGCCCTAGCACTCATTCGGTTTCGATGAGTAACCAAGTCCTACCAAAGAGCCGTCTATTTTGGCTAGTCGGAATTCAGATGACTGAGGATGACTGGCGCCAACACATCTTTTTGATCGCGGCAGTAATATTGTTCAAACGTTTAGGCGGCACGACGCCGGGTTTTTTCGTGTGAAGTTCCTTTCAAAAATGTCAACATACGGTCTTTACAAACCTTGAAACAGCAATAAGGTCGTGACCTTAGGTTGAACGTGAGCCTCATCTTCAAGGTTATTTCAAGGTCAAGTTTTGTTAGGCGTTCTCCAGGGATCGATCTTGGCGCCGACATAGTGTCTATTAGTTATAGAACGACCTCATTTCGTGTAGGATCAATCCGATCCACAACTTTGCTGATGACAACATTCTAGATAGCTGAAGACTAGCAGCAACTTCCTTCTGACGAAAGACCTGGAGGTTATCACTGCCTGGGAAGTCAATAATCTAGTACAGCTCAGTACTCCCAAAGCACAGTACTGTAACTTGTCTAACAAGAAGCGACCTAGCGCTTATTCGGTTTCGATGGGTAACACATCTCGTCAGTCGCGCAGTCAGCAATATTATTGAAATCGCAGCATAAGGTCTTTCAAACCTTGAATCAGCAATAAAGTGGTGACCTCACGTTTGAGCATGAGCCTCATCTTCAAGGTTATTTCAATGTAAGATTTTGTTCTTTTTTACTGGAAAAACACTTTTCTGATACTGCTAATCAAAAGCACCGAAAATTCTACGACCGAGTGTATTTACTGTAATCTGGGATCACGAGCAGTGGGGGCTAGGGAATATCCTAACAAGTTTTGCAGGATTATTATTAAAAACAGGTTAAACTCAGTTCCTATTAACAATGATTTCAATTCTGAACTGGGATTTGACCTCAGGTCTCACACTCAAGATCATAATAGTACATGAGACCGTATTAGAATGCACCTTTTTCCATTGCTGGATACTAAAAGGGGGCTTCTCAGTAAAAAAAGTAACTTGAAATGACTTATAAGGTGAGCTTCAAACTCGAGTGTAAGGTTTTCCTTAATATTTTTTTCATTAATTCCCTAGGGATTCTCCATAGCCTCACATATTTTATCTTCAGAGGTCACTCTGACCGTAGACATTAATACAGATATGACTGATTTTTTCAATCTTTCGGTTGTCGGTGAAAAAATATTAAAATACATTTGGTGCGCAACCCAGGCACACCCAAGTTTTCTGGTTTAATGCTTCACTAACGTACATGGCACAGAGTTTTTATTTTGATCCTTTGGTAGGTGTTGGGAGCCTCGGTAGCTCGGTGGTCAGCGTGTCGAGCTGGCAACTCCAGCCTCGCGGATTCGTATCTTCGCCTCGGAAGTTAATGCATCTCTCTTCGTTATGTTGTCTACTATATCACGCAAGTGGTGCAATATTAACAGGTACATCTCATCGCTGGAGCTATTTTATTATATCAGTTACCACTAGATGGCTCGTGGAGTAGTACAGTGTAGGTACTACGTGGTCGGTGACACAGGCAAAAGGAGGCCCATTTGCCAAACTTTGCCTCCCCACAACTTCTACTAGGTAGGAGTGTTGTTTAAAATTCCCGTGGGTACGCCATTGAAACGAGCAATATATATCTTCCTATCGCGTAGCTGTAATAACTGCTGTTCCTTCATACCCACACACATTCTTATCTCATACAAAGGCTTTGTTGTGAGCCAAGAAGCAGCTTGGAATAGACTTGAAAAAAAATGGTAATATATTTATTCTCCGGATCGAGTGCTCACTAAAAAATGATTCTGTTGGATGGAATATAACCCCTATCTTCAGAAGCAAACACTTTATTGTGACTTGAATGAAGTGCGTTATAAGCTTTTTTATAAAAGTTGAATGCTCCAGTCTCACGCCTCCCTCTGCTATCGAGCTTTGATAACCTCCGTTAGAAGATACCCAGATACTTGATCGGCACTTTGACTTCGAAGCTTGGATTTTTGGACCTTAGCAGCCAATGAGGTTAGCTTCTGTCTGCCAGAAAGTATAACGTCAGTCTTTTCAGGACCTAATCTCAAGCCAGTTTCTCCCATCCATATGGTAATTCTTATGACTCTATGTGCCAGAAGCATTTTAAGTGTATGTCTCTTGTTGCAAGTTATCGACAGGTCGTGAGCGTAAAATATCGAGCGAATTACCGGCACCATCTGTAACTAGGGATTCACTTTTAAGCTACTTGTCTGGAAATCAAGTCAAACTCAAATCAAACACGTAGTTCTCAAGTCTGTCTGTCAGGTTTTTGAAAATTCAAGAAATTTTGATATTACTTAATATTTTTTGTAATATATTGAATTAATTAAAAATTATGGATGTGACTAGATTTTGAACCACCGTTCTAGATCATAATGACTATTTTTGAGTTATTATAAAAAATGCATAATAGCTAAAGATGCATGTTCATTATACTCCGTTCTTTTAAAAACATGTGAAATTAGTTGAGCTGTTTTTTTAAGAAGTTTGACTTTTATTTCTTTTTACATTTAGAGAAAACCTGTGTATCTGTGTTGTGACGAAAATATACTTTTCATAGATGGCGCTGGGTGACCAGAAGCCCTTGGTCTGCCGATGATCGTGCGAAGGCCCTGATTTTTTTGGTATTTTTTTCTGCTAGGTAACGCTATTTGCATACATTATTTGAGACGGAAGTATACACGATGTATCGTGAAAATTTTCGATATACGGCTAATCGGTTGTACAAGTAAATATCACTGAAGGCCTTCAATAAAACTAAAATATAATTTACCATCAAGTATAAAATAGTTTGAATCTGTCTGACCCAAAGTCAAGTGGACCAATAAGAGGATCAAGTAGTGCCAAATATCAACGTGACAAATAATTTTATTTAAAAATTAAGTATTTCATAAAAATATATACTTGACTTGATGAATACCTATCTGCAACCAATGAACTCCATGGTAGACCACGTTTCAATACAACGGCCCTAGAACGGAGCCCTGCGGTATTCCCACGAGTACCTTCACCATTCTACCATAAGTGTGCTCCCATTAGAATAGATAAACCTGTATGAATTTCGATTGTTGTGATAAAGCCATTTTTAACATCAATGTCAACGATAACACAAAACTTTTTACAACTGTTGCTGCCGCTATAAACCTCTTTCTACACAGAATAACTAAGGAACAAAACAATGACAATACAATACGCGTGTATACATATCCAGAAGCTATCATGATTTTAGAGATATAAATAATTTAAGAAAATGGATATAAAATCGGAACATTATATAGAAACAAGTTAGAAATCGGACTTAAAAACACTAGCACCACTCTCATTGACGCAGTAAGTAAAAAAATGTCGAATCAATTGAGCATGGTTTGCTATTTACTATTTTCAATTTTTTTTAGTTCCTGTTGATGACAGCATAGTCTGTCGAAAGCTTAAGTATTTGTAAGTCAAAAGGGTACATTTGTCATAATTTGTCGATATCCCCAAAGAGAAGTATTCCACTTATATGTATATAAGATAACATTGTTTTTCAGGGTTCAAGTCTGGTAAAATTCTTAATCAAGGCGTCATAAATCTAAAGTCGTCGATCTGTGTTTTCTTGTTCACATCACTGTTGTGTAAAACAATGAATACCATTCCACTAATTGAGCGTTTTCTGTAATTGGTTTCATTGTCTAATAAACAGACTTACTCAAAGTTGAAATTATGATTGTTCTGAAAATAATGAGTTTCCAAGCTATTATTTCTGTGTGTCTCTCTCCAAGAGTATTTATGGGATGGCAGTCTATGTTTTAAGTTTTGATAAGCTGACAATATACACTACTTGACAGTCAGCAAAAGGTACTTTGTACACAAAATTATAGTTAAATCCAGTGTGCAGTTCATCCTTAAGTGATGAGTATCACATTTCCACTGTCCTTATTATGGTAAGGCACAATCCTTGCTATGTTATCTGTTAGACGGTTTAGTATTTTCTTTAGATAGGTGGTATTTTAAGATACTACGAGGCCTATGGTCATTGTTATTATTGAAGACTAAATTACATATTTATTCAGGTTGGTCATTGAGCTTAAGTTTCCGTTTAAAGTTAGATAAATTTTGTGCAATGAACTGTGGTCTACTTGATTTGAAGAAGGTGGAAAATAAACACCGAGGCCTTGGCAACCTGAAAAAGAACACGGAGAGATTAAAAGTAGATAATTTAATGTGTAAAATAAGCAACACAAGCTGAGCTTGGTAGCGAAACAGCATGTTTCTGAATGATGCTGCTCGGTACTCAACTCCTTTGCTGCCACGAGTAGGGAAACTGAAACTGTGAGCCGCCAATAAACCCAGGAAGCTTTATTCATAATCTTTTAGTGTCAAGTCGTAAAATAAACGCTCTCTGCCGCCTGTATAACCGAGATTAAAATTATTCCTACCCGGATTATTGCTACAGACTTGCAGTATTCATAAAATTTAATGTATCGAGAAACATTCGAGCAGCGCTCGCTTAGCTCCGGGTTGTGTAGAAGGAAACCGCAGGACCAAGACACTCTCAAAACTTTCTGTTAGCCCGGGAGTTCATTTTCAAAGGAGCCAGCAACCAAAATGAAATAGAGCAACGCCCACGTTGAAACTGTTCGACTTCCACAAGATGTTATCAAAGAACTGTAGATTCAGATACGTATTGGAATAAGCTGTTGGCACTTCAGAATAGTTTTGGGGATACGAGTAGAAACAATACCTTATTTTGAAGAAAATCATGGAATGTCTACTGTGAACTTCTTCAAATGACTGAAAAGGTTTTCTGTACCAGTGCCAAACGGTGATGGTAGTTATAGATCTTAAGCTAGCTGACAAAATATACAGGATGTCCTTAAAGTTGGGACTTTACAGATTATTAGGTCAGGCAGTAATGAGCAAACTTTGTTTAAAACACATCTACCAAAACCTTAAGTGAGCCTTGATACTAAGCACTGAAAAACGTTGAATGAGCCATTCCGATGCTGCTTCCGTCCCCTCCTACGTCAAAGGTATGATGTTTTGTATTACTATGGCTATTGAGTCAACCGAAAACCGAAACTGGCACATTCCTAGAATGCAATAATATTCACAGCATTGCCGTGATCCTCGATATTTCCATCAGAGCTGCGTAGATTTGCTTATATCGTGCAGAAGCCTTCTGGGTGGTTACAGTAGAAGACCTAGTCAGCACCAAACGTTGTAAACATACCGTATTTTTGATCCGAGCGGCGACAATTTCAAGCACTAACAAAACATGTCACGTGCAGTACCTAAAACTCCAAACAAATGAATATAAAGTATTTTTCTTCAATTTCATTCTTACGTATTCGGTGCTGTTTTACCGCCAATAAACTTTGTTAAGCGTAGTTTTTTCTTAAAAGGAAAGTCCCAATTTTCAGGACACCCTGTATATGCTTATACTAACGGAATTCCAAAATATGTTTTAGAGTACCTGATGTGTTTCAACAAATAAAAATGGCTAAGCACAGTTTGAAAAGTGTTTCAATTGTTCCTAGATTCGCTGACCTATATCATTTCGCAGGTGGTAGATGAACATGAAGGTACTAACCCGACGGACTTCTAAGGCGGGGCCAGAATGTGTGAATGTTGCATGCAAACATGTTTCCTCGCTAGAGTCCGTGTTGCGTCCCTCCCTTTTCCCTGTATTCACCTATAGCCTGTGGTACCCATGGGTGTTTAGGCTTTAGGCCTTCATCGTATTTCAAGTATAATTTTTTTTTTACATTTTCACTTGCACAGTGCGCAAAATTTGTCGTGGGTACAAATTTCACGAGATCTCCAACCTTTTTTGTCTGGAGCCGAATATGTGGTCGAAGGTATATTCCTTGATCGAATATGACGGAAGCTTCGGTCAGATCTTGGTAATTTATCCCTTTTCAATAAATATACTGGCAGATTTTGCACCTATGAGGTTTCTTCTGCCACAAATTATACATACCAGACTTCCTCTGTCAAACTCGATACATCGAAAACTGACGGGTGCGATAGATTCTTTCCAGTTGTACTGACCTTATGCAGTCAGAAATCAGATCACCCGGAGGACCGTATCCCGCTTTGGCAAACTTAAAATATAAATAAGTGGATTTACATTTATTCTGTATGCTGTATGCGTTATAATATGAATAATGCTGAAATGTCCCATTTATTAGTCTATCGATCCAGCATCAGAGCTGTCAAATTTCATAAATATGGTGCACCCCTACCATCAGAATTGCGTTCAACCAGGGATTTGGCTAAAAAAATACAGATATTGTCATTATTACCGTTGTCACTACGGGAAGGCGCTCTGAAGAAGATTAAGGAGTTTCGAAAGCAATTTCTATTAGGAGCTTACGTACATTTTCTGAGATTTAATCAAATAAATATGCATTTACCTCAAGCAGAGGTAGTCCAACTGTGACTGATTGGGCATATGGGAGCCCACGTATCCATAGTTAGCAAATAAAATCTGTAAATTATTGATAGTGACACCTTACCCTTCCATTGCATATACACATTATAAATATTCTTAGTAGTTGGGACATACTTCTTTCTCTCACACCTTTTTATAGTCTCGGTAGATCCGTACATAGGTTTTTGCCTTCGTGGACGCTTCAGTATTTCATACTGATTCTACCTCAAGTATTCAAACCATTCTTCTGTGGAGCAGCTTGACAGAGATTTCCCAGGAAGGAATATTTATTCACGTAAAACAAAATATGTTATTCAGAATTCAGCGGAATAGAAAATATGTTTTTTTCTCTGTAGGGGTTCAAACGAGTCCAAAATATTCCATGTTCTCTCTCGGTCATTATTTAAATCACCAGAATTCTCATGTATTAGTTATACCGCTGGTGCTTCAAGATCTTACTTACCGACTCTGGAAATAGATATAATTTTCTCTGATCTATGAAGATGAGTTATAAAACTGTCAATTCATACTTTGTCACTGTTTTTTGAGCCGCCCTGTACTTATGGATCAGTTGCTCTTGCAGAATGTCGTCAGGAGGAGCTGTCATCCTACCCATGAGGTGTCATTTTGCAGTTAACATTGCCTACTATTCTGATTTGGGTCTTGGCCCCACCATTGTTTCTATCACACACCAACGATCAATCCCATCCACAGCTTTGCCGATGACAGCGCTTTACACGTAGGCAGTCAGTGTGACAAGCCGATCTCTACTGATGAGCTGGAAAGAAGAAGACTCGCAGCGTCGCAGCAACTTCCTCTCTGACAAGTAGTAAGTAGTGGTAGTAAGTTATCACCTCTTGGTGACTCAACAATATGGTACAGTTTAATGTTTCCAAAACATAGTATTGGCCTTGACTAACTTGAAGCGCCCTAGCGCTCATCCGCACGGGTATCACGTATCTTGAAAAGAGACATCATGTCTATTTTTTTTGACATTATACTGTTTTTTTTGACATTATGTTGGTTTTTCGTTAAGACGTTGACTTAGCACTTAGCTGTACGTGTTGCCTAAACGTCACGAGGCTTAGTATCAATTTTAGGCTCTGATGTGATGTTAAATCTGCTTCTGAGATGGCATTACTGGAGGTCTAAGCTGTAAGTTGTATGTGTTGATGATAATTACATTTGGTTCTTGTTAAAGATAGATAGAAATTAGTTGCGCATCCACTTTTTCTTATCCATTCTGGAAATTCCATATGCAAATTTGCTGAATTTGAAAAATGAGAGAGATAAGAACCAATTATATTCACTGTACACTGTCGAATTACAAGCCACATACATGCTAATAGTAATTACACACAACGCGGGCGCGGTGATGATTTCCCGTAATTCTCCTCAGTTTTTCGTAATTTATAACTTTGTACATAACCTCTCTTCAGAAAGCACAACATATAAATAACTCGTCATATTCAGCATATTCAGTATTGATTTTCTCACACAGCAAATATCACTGATTTTGTACTCATGCAGACCAATACAGATAATCATCCAGATGTGATCTTGTTATTCAACCAACTTTCATCTCAAAGATAAGAACTACAGACACGGATCACTCAGCCTCACAAAACTATGCAACCAGTAATGCGTGTAGTTTAGTTGAGTGATTCCTTCATAGATGGACGTTCACAACGATCCTAGTGAGCAAACGTGGAATGACTGTTTGCGCCCTAAAAACTACCTAGTCTGCAAGTTGACATCTTGTAGGTGTTTGTTTGACATTTTGTAAGTTTTTTACATGATATTGTGATGGATGGCCTAGTTCTGAAAAAGAGCCATTTATTTCAGCTGGTCGGAGTCCAGACCACCGAAGACTTGATCTGGCACGAGCACACCTCATCAATCGCGGCAGCTGACTGAAAAAGCTAGGTTATTTGTTTAGGGCTAAAAAGTACTTTTCTCTGTATAACCTCCTCACTCTGTCCAAGGCCCAGAAAAGACCTAGTTTGTAGTACTGCTCACATATCGTCGCTGGAAAGACAAAGGGGCGTAAGTCGGAAAATGCTCATTTGGAGTTAGCACCACCAGAAATCTCTAAAAGTGGATATCTATGATATGCCGAATTGGCGAATCGCTCCTCCTTATAGTTAACGGACTCGTAATATGGCAAATCAGTATGTGGATGGATCTCCTATTCTTGCTAGTGCTAAAAGAATAAACGGGCGTAAAGCGCGTCTCTTGTAAAGTAGCTGAATTGGAGTTACGCCTCTTTGTCTTTCCAGCGACGATATTTGTGGTTTTGGCACCCCTACTACTTTGTTCAAACTCGATGTGGTTTAGAGGAGGGCTACACGACTGATTCCACTGTATCAATAGGCTTTGATCCTTACAGCTCTTCTCCATGATCCCGCGGTACGTTGAGCCTGTCAGACGAACCCGTCAGGCTTCTGCCTACCATCCCAACCCTGTTGAACCTTTTAGATTGAGAACTGGCCGGGTCCTCCGCTCCTTTATTCCTAGGGAATCTAGAAAAGCGGAACAGTCAGCCTGGGGAGGTTTTCCATTTCTGCTAGCCTTAGAGCCGTTTTACACACAAGAGAATTACTCCGAAAATTATGGTCATAATTATGCCGAAAATTTGTGAAAAGAATTCTTATGGAAATTTTCATGGTAAAAATATACAAACCGTTCTATAGAATATGCGCGAGAATCGGCGCAGAGGGTTATTTCCGAGCATGTCATTATCAAATGTCAACGTCAACAACCCGACAACATAACCTCACTAAACATTTGTGGGTGTGGTCGTACGAAGAAGCGATCATTGTTATTGTTTATTCATAATGTCGTGGAATCGAGAAGTTACACTGTTATTGGAGGAGTATCAAAAATGGCCAAACCTGTACAAGGCGAGGTCACCCAATTACAAAAACAGAAATTTACGGCGTCAGGCGTTGGATGCGATAGTCCAAGCATTGAGAAGTTTTACAATATTAACCAAGATCTCGATTTCTAAAATAAATTCAAATCAACGACGTCTGTTGTCTTTCCGATTATATTGGACGTCATACCCGTTAAGCTTATGTCAATTCGAAAATATTACTCTAATGCGCAGGCGTATCATATGAATTACTCCGAAATTTTGTTTGCTTGTGTCATACAGGTTGTAGAGAAAATCTTTAATATTTTTTCCATGCAAATTTTCGGCATAATTATGACCATAATTTTCGGAGCAATTCTCTTGTGTGTAAAACGGCTCTAAGATAGTAAAAAAATCGGATTAACCAAATGTCTTTAAGCTCCTTATAGCAGTCGCAGTGCCCCGGTATTCAAGTTTCTGCCTACGCGACTGTTTGAGTTTGAATGAATTAGGGTAATAAAACAGAACGTGATTTATGAAAAGCAATCTACGGTGACCATCTCTAGCCCCTGGATCATAATATGAAAATTGAAGTCCGCTCTGTAAGCAGCAGAGGCAGAGTAGCAGCAATAGCAGAGCTTGGGAATTGCTAAAGTGGCCGTAATCCCGGAATCGGTCAAGGCTCAAATTTCATTACACACGACGGCGCGATAAGGGTGACTTTTCTTTATGTACGTAGCGTGATATCCGCAAAGAACGACAAGAGAGTTATTTAACAAGTTTACGAATATTTTCGTTGATGGTACTCTATCCACAGCAGGGACAGAATAGGTTTTCCAAGAAATTAGATTACCATCCGTCAGCAAAGGAGGTGCTCAGGTGTCAAAGCTCCTCTGCGAAAACGTGCTGGAAATTCATTGTCTAGCTGCAGCAGGAGCTATTAAATTGCGATTCCCAATATCAAATTACGATTCTTGGGCCCGATTTAACTATTTGTAAGCGAGTCACTTGGCCTACGGTTCAGTTGATCCGCGGATAAGAGCTGACTAATTAGAAGACATCATTGAAGTAATCTTCTACAATACTTCTGGAAACAGCAAAAAATTATATGAGTGGTGTAAGCAGGGCCTCTAGACTTCTAGACTTTAAATCAAGAAGTACACCACCTGACTTAGCTATACCAAGACTCCAATGCTCGCGAGATCTGATACCGGCCTCAAAAGTTACCTTTCTAGCCATGGATGCTGTGTTTATATACATATATACTCATTAGATCGATGCAAAATCAAATACCATCTCTGTACCTGATGTATCCAATAATCAGTAGGATCATGCGGAGTAGTACGGTGCTGGTATAACGGAGTTGATAAAAATGGTCAAAGACGGCCAAATTGCTAGCTACCCCACCAATACTAATAGCTCTGGGTCAATTGGTCCGCGGATCAAAAATAGGTGAACAGGAGGTGGTTGTAATATAAGTAATGGATCTATATACAAATGGTTTTTCCTAAAATACAGGATGTAAACGTTATGGTAGTTATTATTGAAACGGATACTAGGGGGAGTCAAAACAAGTCAAAAGGTTCATATCTCCCATGGTCCAAAAGTCAATAGATTTTTGTCTAAATGGCTTTATAGTTTAGAAATTTAAGTGCTTTATATCGACCACAATGACCACAATCTTACTAGTTTTTATAACTAATCTAAAACGTTTTTAAATTAGGTAATTAACAAATAAATGGCATTAAGCTTTTCTAAGTTAAGCCAAAATTTGTAGTCAGTAAGTAAGTTTCATTAAACTGAATATTTAAAACACACATGACAACAGCGCGTCAGTCATCATCACCCTTATCGAACCGGCAATCGATCGCGAACGGTAACAGTGGTTAGTATTTTGTTTTGTTTCTGTTCGCGTACATCGTCGTGTTGATTTACAATGTTTCGAATCAAGATTTCGCCGACATGTTGTTAGTTTACGGTGAAGCTCGTCAGAACTCAAATCTTGCAGCTCAAATTTATCACGACAGATTTCGCCAACGGGTACACCCAGACAGAAGGACATTTGTGCAAGTGTACCAAAGACTTGGACATACAGGAAGTGTTCAGCCTACTAATATTCGCAATCGTGAGAGACAGGTTACTGTAGAGCAGGAGGAACATTTTAAATATCGTGGAAATCAATGCAGATATCAGCACTCGGGAATTAGGCCGCCGCGTAGGACTATCGCATACCATAGTCCATCGAATCCTAC